CTGCCCAGGGTTAGCCGGCTGGTGTTGAGCAGCCTGGGGACTCAGGCCTCCTTCTGCTGCCAGCAGGGCCCCTGACGCTGGGGAGAGGTCACAGCTGGGGGCTGCAGGGGACTCTGTGGTGGAGCACTTGCCCTCCCAGCTGAGTGGGTGAGAGCCCATGAGTCCTGGCTGGCTGGGCAACAACAGGGAGCAGCTGGCAGGCAGCCTGTGAATGATGTGAGCAGCTGGCACCATGGGGGCTGAATGTGGACATTGTACCAGGCTGAAACCTGATTTCCAAGGATGCAGCTTGGACGGGGTGGCAGGGCTGGTCGTAGGACACCCTGACCCTGTTCTGGGCCTTCTCGGTGACAGAAGCGCAGACGTCCTGGGCTGGGTTCAGGCAGGTGCTTCAGTGCCCTCACCATCAGGAATGGAAAACGTGAGCCAGGAAGGCCATTTTCTTGAGAACTAGTAATTTCCAGGAATAGAAACTGAAACCAACTGGCTCACCCTGTGTCCCCTCCCTCGTGAGCTGCACCGCAACTTAGATCTAAACTAACAGAGTGGAGGGAGCAGCAGACTCTGGGGGAGGAACCAGGGGCGACCACACTGGCCTCCCGGCTCCCCTTCCTTCCTTCTCTCTCAGCCCTGCCAGGACAAACCAACCTGACCCCTGTTCTTCCTTCTGGAGCAACGGGCATGCCGTCCAGTTTTGGACAGTCCAGAGGGCAATGCCTCTGCTTTAGGAGAGGACTCTACCCCAGGGCGTGGTGACTTGCTGGAAGGACCAATGACTATCTGACCACCATCACTATCTGCTTCCTGGAGTGCCTATGGGAGTGGATTCTTAAAACTTGAACTGAATAGTAACTGTGTTATGGTATAGACGTCCAAGGTGGAGCCTGACAACAGGCCAGGAGCGCTTGGGGACTTGCTAGTCCATTTCAGGGACCAAACTCAGCACCCACATGCTTTGCTGCCCCAAACCCATCCAGCCTTCCGTGTGGAGACGTGTGCCCCTCACTTCCATGCTCCTGGCACCTGTGGGTCTTCTGATGGAGACCACGTGTAGGGAAGGAGGGCAGGATGTGCCGCTTGTGTTTTCTTTTTCTTTTTTTTTCCCATGGGTCTCTTAATTTCTTTTTTCTAAATTAAGGTATCATTGATAGACAATCTTACGAAGGTTTCACATGAGCAGCATGCTGAACTGCCTTCCCTGTGACCTTCCTCTATTGTGATTGCAAATTCTGCTGCCCACGGTTTCTTACAGTCTAAGCTGGAGAATAAGCCACAGACAATTTCTGGAACAGCCTGGAATTGTGTCTATCAATGACCCGAGAGGGAACGCCCTCGAATAAGGACCTGGAGTGGGGTTTCAGGGATGGGGTGCCAAGGGGACCATGCAGTCTGCTTCAATGCAAACGTGGGTCTCCACTGGAGAAACTGTCTGTATTGTAGGGTACCAGCTCTGCCCTTTGCGGGTGATGTCAGCGAGGTGCAGCTTTCACCATCTTCCCAGAGCCTGTCCTTTAGGGCTCATGCCCAGGTTTATTATACATTTCTGGAATACATCAGCACTTTGATTTTCTCCAGCTTTTTCCTATGATGATGAAATGCAGGACAAACTTGGGGCTTGGCCCACACTGATGTATAAGGCTTCCAAAGGATCAGCACAGACAGACAGACACAGGACCTTTGTACACTGTGCTAAGACTTGGAGGGTGGAGAAAGAACTGGAGAAAGAACCAGAGAAAAGACTTCCTCAGAGCTCCTAAAAGACCATAGGGCATTCACAGAGAGGCAGCTGGGAGCTCTGCGGAGGGCTTCACCTGGATCACACAAGGAAATCCTCACCCAGGGCCCAGGAGGTGGGGAGCAGGACTCCATCCCCCACCGCACAGACAGGACACTAGGGCTCGGTTTTCAATGTGAACATGTCCGTATTGTTTGGGGTGGAGTTTGTCTGTAAATTCAGGTGGAGTTCTCTGTGTTCCCTCCTGTGGTGGTTGAGGCCAGGGGCCTTGTGACAGATGAAAGCAGCCGGAGAAGCCTGGGCAGCAGCGAGGCAAGAATGGCCCACCACCAGAGAGGTAGTGGGGTGGGGCTGGTTTCCAGAGGAGGAGGAGGAGGAGAGTAAGATCTGCACCACGGGACCTAAAGTGGTGTGAAACTTGTCCCACAGTGGGGGCAGTAGGACTTCTGGGGCAGAAGTGTGGCATCTGGGTGTGAGGACTGCACCCAGCAGCATCAGGGAACCCCAGGGGTGGGTCTGGTAGGTGCCCATCACAGAACAGAAGGACCTGCAACTCCTCAACCAAAGAGGAAGCCTTGAATTTAAACTTAAAAAAAAAACTTGCATCCATGCATACAGATGAGAGTGGACTTTCAAGGGAAATCACAGCAGGCGTTCACAGCTTTGGGGACTGTGAAAGCCCACCAGCCAGGGGCAATGTGTGTGTAGCATCCTCCAGGTAATCCCAAGCAATTCCCTTTCCCCTTCCTGCCCTGCAGTCTTTTAAAGTCTCACTGCAGGGTCCAGCCTACAAAGGAAACCTCCATTTACACAAGAGTTTAAATGCTTATCTTGATAGCAACGGTGGCAATGACAACCATGTGCAGACGTGTGCTGACTGTAAAATCAGAAGATTGTTTGGACAGCTTGTTGTGACTTGGCTGAAGGTGACGAGGGACAGGCGGACCTTCGGTGTGCAGTTAGTGGTGGTACATGCAGGAATGTTTCACGAAGAACCTCGAGAGGAAAAAAAATTCACTTTTCATTGTTAATGTGAATAAATGATTCTTGACTCAGAAGAGGAATGCAGTGAGGACACTCAGGTCCTCAGGAAGGGAGGGTGTGGAGAGGTGCACGAGCTCACCCTGCCCAGCTGGCACCTCCTGTGGGCTGTCCTGCTCACCCAGTCAGGGCGGACGAGGACGAGGGACGTGCACCTTCTTGGCTCCTGACTGAGTGACGCTCATGATGCTCTGTGGCTCAAGTCTGCTCACGTCCGCAGTCCTGCTTCGGTGCCGACCGCAGGCTCCACAGCTGCAGGGCGTTCCTCTAGTGTCTCCTCTGAGCCCCAAAAGGTACACATCTCCTGATGGAGCATCTCTGCTCCTTTTTGTGAAACAACTTTATTGGGATAAAATTTACACATCCCACAGTTCACCCCTTTAAAATTTTCAGTGGCTTTTAGCATATTCACAAGGTCATGCAACCGTCACTATAAGCACATTTAGAACATCTCCTTTTCCCAAAGGAAGCTCTGGTCTTCTTGACTGTCACTGGTCTTTTTCTCTGTGTCACAGCCCCTCACCTCTAAGAAATCTGTGATATATTTCTCTATCTGTGGACTTGACTATTCTGGACATTTCATAAGAGTAGAATCCCACAGTACATGGCTGTGTGGACTGGCTCCTTTCACAGAACATTATGTTGCTGGGTTCCCACGTTATGGCAGGAATCAGCACTGCATTAGTACTGTTCCACTGTATGGATAGGATGCATTCTTTATCCATTGACCAGATGATGGACAATGAGGCTGATCTTGGGACTATTATGAATAATGCTGCTAGGAACAGTTGTGTGCAGATTTTACGTAGTTACGTCTTCACTGCTCTTGGGTACATACATACCTAGCAGTGGAGTTGCTGGATCATATGGTAACTCTGCTTAATTTTTCCCAGTTTTATTGAAAAACAATTGACATGCATCACTGTCTAAGCTTAAGGCACACAGCATGATGGTTTAATTGACATATACTGTGAAACAATTGCCACAATAGGTTTGTTTATCCAGTATATCATACAGATACAATAAAAGGAAGAAGAAAGGCAGAAAGAGAAAACATTTCTCCTTTGATGAGAACTCCCAGGATTCACACTCTTAGCAGCTTTCCTATCACCACAGAGCAGCTTTGACTGTGGTCATCAGGCTCCACATTACAGCCCTTGAATTTATTTTTGTTACAACTGAAAGTTGTACCGTTTGCCCACCTTCCTCCAACTCCCCCTTCCCCCACCCTCTGCCTCTGGTAACCACAAGTCTGATCTCCTTTTCTATACATTTGGGTTTTCTGGAATTTTTTTTTTGCCACTTATGAGTGAGATCATACAGTATTTGTCTTTCTCTGACTGATGTATTCACTTAGCATGATGCCCTTAAGGTCCATCCATCTTGTTGCAAATGGTAGGATTTCCTCATTACTTATGGGTGAATATATGTTTTTTTTTTTTTGAGAGGGCATCTCATATTTATTGATCAAATGGTTGTTAACAACAATAAAATTCTGTATAGGGGACTCAATGCTCAATGTACAATCATTAATCCACCCCAAGCCTAATTCTCGTCAGTCTCCAATCTTCTGAAGCATAACGAACAAGTTCTTACATGGTGAACAAGTTCTTACATAGTGAATAAGTTCTTACATGGTGAACAGTACAAGGGCAGTCATCACAGAAACTTTCAGTTTTGATCACATATTATGAACTATAAACAATCAGGTCAAATATGAATATTCGTTTGATTTTTATACTTGATTTATATGTGAATCCCACATTTCTCTCTTATTATTATTACTATTATTATTATTTTTAATAAAATGCTGAAGTGGTAGGTAGATGCAAGATAAAGGTAGAAAACATAGTTTAGTGCTGTAAGAGGGCAAATGTAGATGATCAGATGATCAGGTGTGTGCCTATGGACTAAGTATTAATCCAGGCTAGACAAGGGCAGCAAGACATCCACGGATGCAGAAGATTTCTCTCAAAGCAGGGGGGGTGAGGTTCTGAGCCTCACCTCTGTTGATCCCCAAATTCTCACCTGATGGCCCCCCTGCGACTGTGCCTGTCTTAGGTTGTTCCTCCCTTGAGGAATCTTACCCGTCTCTGGCTAACCAGTCATCTTCCGGGGCCATACAGGGAAATGTAAAGTTGGTAAGTGAGAGAGAAGCCATATTGTTTGCAAAGGTTAGCTTTTNGAGAGACGTGACACCGCCTGCCCTGTCCCCTTCCACGCCCTTACCTGCAGCCTATGACTCTGCTGGGCAGCACAGCACGGGCTGCAGCGTGTCACCTGAGTTGGGAGACAGGAGCATGGAGAAGGCCTTGGAGGAAGGGAAGTTGCTGGGGAGGTCTCTGTGGTCAGGGAGACCCTGGAGGTAGCGTGCAGTGCTAAGGTGAGCGTTGCGGTGACAGGGGACTCCGGCAATGGCATGTCCCCCTTCGTCAATGTGCTGAGGGGCCTCGGGCACGAGGAGGAGACCTCAGCTCCCACTGGGGTGGTGAGGACCACCCAGAGTCCCACCAGCTACTCATCCTCCTGCCTTCCCAATGTGATGCCGTGGGACCTTCCCAGCATGGGGGCTGCTGCGCAAAGCCTGGAGAACCATCTGGGGGAGATGCCGTTCAGCCAAACCTCTTTATCATCACGGCATCCGAGCAAGTTAAGCATGAATCACGTGAGACTCGCCAAAACCATCCAAGGCCTGGGAAAGAGGTTCTCCATCGTGTGGGCCAAGCTGGATAGGGACCTGAGCACGAGTATCCTCTCAGAGGACCAGCTTCTGCAGAACATCCGGGGGTATATCAGGGAAAATCTCCAGAAGAGGGGGATATGTGAACCCCCCACATTCCTGGTGTCCAACCTCGAACCTTCATTGCATGACTTCCCAGAGCTGAGAGACACATTGTGGTTGTGCAGTGACCTCTCTGACATCAGGCACCACCAGGCCTTAAAAAACTGTCCCACACCTGCGAGAACATCATTAACAACAAAGTGGCCTCTCTGCAGGAGAAAATGGCCTCAAAGCCTTTCCCAGAAGACCAGGCATCCAGGACTCAGATGACTTGGGGAAGTGTCTGAAGCCTACCGCCTGTTCTTTGGGGTGAATGATGAGTCTCTCCAGCAGGTGGCCCAGACCCTGGGGACTTCCTTGGAGGAGTACAGGGCTGCCATGAAGTCCCAAGATCTGCTCACTGTCCTCTCAGAAAAGTGGACACCTCCTTCGATGTATTATAAGGCAGCCTCTTCTTTACATTCAGTCCTTAATTACTTCTGGCTCTTGGGTGACCCTGTTGCCCAGCACCTCAGAGAGGGGAGACACCGATACCTCCTTGAAGGAGTTGCCAAGGACACCAAGAACATCCTGAGGGATGTCCTGACAGACTCCACTGTCTGAAGAGCTGGCGGTTCTGCAGGCGGCTTCTTGGGTGAATCAGGGCGTCTGGGTCCCCTCCTGAGCACTGGGCCCTCTGAACTCTCCACAGGCCTCAGCATCTCCACCTCTACTGCTTCTCAGATCCTTGAGGCTAATGAGCTGGCGTGCTCATTTTGTACCCACATCAGCAGACACTGTTTCTACTCATTGTCAATTGTTGCATTATAACTGCAGTAGCTGGGATCCAATATGGGAGAGAGGATCTGCACAGGGCAACATAATCTGCTCCCGACACCCCCTTATCACAACGTTAATGTCATTTTCCTGAGGCCTCTTGGTCGTGCCCTGCTCCTTCACCCCTCACCTCTCACTCCCTCAACTCACCGAGGCACATCTGGTGCAGAGGGGAGAGCATCCCTGGGGGAGAGTGTGTTTTTAGCTCTTCTCTGAGAAGTGTTGTGTGGTGGAGCCAGGATGGCAGGGCTGGTCAGCTGCCTGGAAAGCTCTGCCTGACTCTCCCCTCATCAGATGCCCCAAACCATCTATATCCCAACAGGACACGGGAGAAGGACTCAAGGGCCACTGCTACTGGGACTGGCAAGTTGATGAATGAAAAGGAAGCCTGACTACTAAGTACCAACACTGTCCTGGCCGGTGGACCATGGCTGGGACAGAGTATGGGGTGGGGTGCGTGCCCCCCGGGGCCCTGGTGTGGAGCCAAGGTGGCAGGTGGAGAGCTTGGAGCTGGCTCCCCCAAGCATCAGGCCAGCTGAGCTGAGGGAAGGACTTGAGATCCAGGGAAGTGCCATCTGGCCTCTACCTGCCTGCCAGTCAGCAGAATTGGGCCACTGCAGAGCGGGGCGTGCAGGGTGTGCACCGGAGCGCCAACCTGTGCTGAGCTGCCCAGGAGGGAGGTGGACTGTTTGGGGCTGGCTGTGCGGGTGCCTGGCCACCTGGGCTGAGCGGGGCCGGGAACCCCGGGTGGAGAACCCCGCCCTCACTTTCTCCAGTGAGAGCCCGTCTAACCCCCACCCTCTGGCACCCTTCCTGCTGCTGGTGAATCTTTCAAACTGCCGCCTCTGTGTTGGGTCCCAGCAGGGCCAGCGGAGAGTGCCTGTCCCCCACAAGCACAGGCGTCTCCCAGAGAGGCCTCCACCGGGCCCTGGTGTCCAGCCAGTCAATCACCAGAACCGCATGCCACGTGGACTCGTGTTCCCAGAGCAGATCTCCCGGGCCAGGTGTGCGGGACCCCTGAGTTTATTCTCCCTTTCCACCCCATTCCCCTCCGTCCTGCTTGTGGGCTGGGACAGGGGAAGGACTTGGGTCCTGATCATCATGACTCTCCGTCTTTTGTCTCTCTCCTGGGTGTAGGCTGTCTGTTCTGCAGTCTTGGTCTTTTTCGGGGTTAGTTGTATTTGCTGTAGTTTCTTCCTCAATGTGTATGTGGTAGGTTTCTGCCTGCTGTCCTACTCCCCCATCTTCTCACTGTCCTCTTCTACCAAAGTTTAAAATTTTCAGTTTACATGCCTTTCACCTGCTAGATTAAATTTGTTCCTAAGTACCTTCTTATTTTGATGCATTTGGAAATGGGATTTTATTCTCTATTTCTTTTTCATACAGTTTGGGTTAATGTATAGAAATGCAGCTGATCTTTGCATGTTAATTTTGTCTTCTACAATGTTTACTGAATTCATTTATTTGTTCTAATTATTTGGGTTTTTTTGGTGGAGTCGTTAGGGTTTCCTATATATAAGATCATGTCTTTAGAGGACAGTTTTCCTCTTCTTTTTGTTTATGTATTTCTCCTTCCTCTAGCTCTGGACTTCCAATACCATCTTGAATAAAAGTGAAGAGCCCTGGCACCCTTGTTTTGATTTTGATCTTGGAGGAAAAGTTTTCAGCTTCTTACCATGGCAAATTACGAGAGTCATATATGGGCTTGCTTGCCATACAGGGCCTTTATTGTGTCAAGGTACTTTCCTTTTATACCAACTTGTTGAGAGTTTTCATAGGAAGTGGATGTTGAATTTTGTCAAATACATCTTTTGCACCTATTGAGATAATGTATGATTTATATCCTTCATTTTGATAATTGTGTATATCTCATTTATTTGCACATGTTGAACCATCCTTGGATCCCAGGATAGATTCCAATTTAGCTGGACATGTCCTTTTAATGTGCTGTTAAGTTCAGTTTACTAACATTTTGTGGATAATTTTGCACCAATGCTCATTAGAGATACTGACCTACAATTTGTTTCATTGTGTAGGGTTCTTGTCTGGCTTTGGTAAAGAGTAATGCTGCCCTCTTAAAATGAGTTTGAGATTGTTTCCTTCTCTTCAGTTTGTTGGAGAATTTTGAGATACATTGGTGTGAATTCTTCTTTAAATGTTTCAAAGAATTTTCCAATGAAGCCTTCTGCATCTAGGTTTTTCTTGGTTGAGAGGTATGTGATCACCATATCAGTCTCCTTACTAGTAAATATTCTGTTCAGATTTCCCATTTTTCATGACTCTTTCTTGGTGAGCTGTATGTTTTTGGGAATGTATTCACTTCTTCCAGGTTATCCAAATTTTTTTGCTTCTGGGTTATCCAATGTAATTGCTCAGAGTAGTCTTTTATGATACTCTGTATTTATATATCTGATTGTATTTCTTCCATACGTCTCTCTCCTTGCTTCTCTTAGCTAGAGGGTTGCCAATTTTGATTACCTCATGAAAAAAATCAGTTTAATTGATATTTCCTATTGGATTTCCAGGCTCTAATAATGTATGTTGTAATCTTCACTAATTCCTACCTTTTTCTCACTTTAGACTCAGTTTGATCTTCTTGCTCTGCTTCCACAAGGCACGAAGTAGTTTATTTAAGATCTTTTTGTTTTCTTAATGTAGACTTTTACAGATCCAAAGTTTTCTCTTAGAACTGCTTATTCTGCATCCTTTAGATTGTGGCATGTTATGTTTCCATTTTTGTTTACCTCAAAATATTTTTAATTTCACTTTTCATTTCTTGTTGTCTCACTTGTTGTTCAGGAGCATGTTGCTTAATCTCCACACATTTGCGTACTTTAGTTTTCTTCTTTTAATTATTTCTAGTTTCATATCATTGTGGCTGAATAAGGTGACCAAAATTACTTAAGTCTTCTTAAGTTTATTAAGACTTTGAGTCTCCTCCCCACCACAGCAAACTGATGAAAGCCTCCAATGACGCCATCATTGGAATCTATTACCCACCCATCAGCAGGAACATGCAGGGCCCTGGAATGCATCCATCCTCATCAGGGGCGGGAGACAGGGTGTGGGCTGAGGGTTGAGTGCAGAACCAGGGACTGCACAAACCACATCACACAATAGGTTTCTGTCCCAATCCTGAGAACTTTTCAAAATGTGCAGTTTGTGTATGTGCTTTTCAGTGACATTGAACTGGGTGATCTGGACATCTCTGAGTGTGTCTGTTTTATGATTCTCCCCTCTACAATTGCCTTTATGTGAATTGTCTCTTTTCAGGGCTGGTTTCCTGACCCTAGCCCAGGCAGCCTATCCCTCCTCAGGGCCCTGGCCCAGGCCAGAAGGCAGAGACTGCCATGCTTCCCGAACTGCTGGGTGAGGGGGTTGTTCTGGGCCTCAGGCCTGGGCTCTCTGCAGGGGACACAGCGCTGCCTGCTGCTCACCCTGGCTCCCGCTGAACTAGCACGTCGTGGTGCACAGGTAGCCTTGAAACCAGCCCTGCCAGCCCAGCACCTGGGTCCAGTACCCCTCCCAGGGGGTTCCCCCATCTCAGATCTACTGCATCAGGGACTCACTTTCCACCACCCCCTGTCAGACTAGTGACCATCTGGTCCTCTAGACACATAAGGGTAATTTACCCAGGGATGCCTGACTGAGCCTATCACACACACATGTGCAAGAACAGCAGAGTGTGGGACCCTGGGAAGGGCAGAGGGTCCTGTATCTAGGTTATGAATTACCTGAAGTGTCCTGAGCTCATTGGCCTCAAGACCTTTCCCTGATGCCCACTGCAGAGAGGAGGACACAGAGGCACAGGGAGGCTGTATCCACCCTTGGCCACACAGAAGCCATGGAGCTGGGTTGAAGGCCAGGCCATGAGGCTTCAGAGCACACAGAGGGCTCCTGCAAGCCCGAAGGGAAACCACACTCATCCTGCCACTGTGCACCTGCCGCTGGAGGGCAAAGATGCTCTGGGATCCAGCCCCGGGCCTGCCTTGCTAATTATGGTAGCTGGACAACCATTTCTGCACTAGAGATTCTGCATCTCTTCACTCTGGAAAGCTAGTGGGTGGGCAGTGATGTGGGTAAAAGGTTGGTTGGGGCTGGAAGAGGTGGTGTGCACAAGGCTGCACAAATGGAGATGTGCTTCTAGCAGCCTAGCTGGGCTCTGGGGCTTCCCCTGGAACTGGGGGTCCTAGGGCAATAACACAGGGCTTCATATCCCTCTATATGTTCCTGCACCTGAAACCAGGTGAAAAGGAAAGGAAACAGGGAGGGGAACAGAAGCCACACTTCAAGTTCCCCACACGCTCAGGACAAGACCAGATGTGGCCTCAGAGAGGGGCCATCTCTTGGGGAAGGAACCTGCACAGGCCCCTGTCCTCTGGGTTCCTCTTGTCTAAACACTTTTAGTGTTGCTAAATTTAATCCCAAAGAAAATCCCAGGGCATTCCACCCCGATATCTCTCGAGAGGAAGACTCTAAAAAATGTCTCATTTTCTTACAGAACTTCAGAACCTTATGACATCTGACAAAGTTAACTGTAATCCTTGGTATTGCTTAACACCCAGTGTAAGATTAGATTTCCACGAAGGATTTCCGTGTGTCCTTGTGGAGCTAGACTTTGAAATCAGTATCCAAATAAAGCCCACTCAGTCCCCCTTCTGTCCATAATCCACATGCTGGGAGTTTGCATCAGACATGGCTCAGTGGTCCTGGGGTTGAGCTCTTCTCAAATACGCCTCTGCTTTTCTGAAGCATCATTGAACTGGCTTCTCCATCTGTGGTGTTTCTTCTGCATGGAAATTAGCTCTGGAGTCCACTTTGCTTTCTGTTTTCTAA